GGTGGTGCAGAAGGGCTGGCGCCTGCCCGAGTACACGGTGACGCAGGAGTCGGGGCCGGCGCACCGCAAGGAGTTCACCATGACGTGCCGCGTGGAGAGATTCGTGGAGATCGGTGAGGGGCCGGCCCGGGGGGTCCCGGGGGGTCCCGGGGGTCCCGGCTGACCCCCGGCCCTCCGCAGGCAGCGGCACCTCCAAGAAGCTGGCCAAGCGCAACGCGGCCGCCAAGATGCTGGTGCGCATCCACAACGTGCCCATGGAGCCGCGCGACGGCAGCGAGGCCGAGGGCGAGGAGGACCAGTTCAACATGGTACTGGGGGCACTGGGGGGGACACGGCACCCCCGAGCCACCGCTGAGTCACCCAGAGTCACCCAGAGTCACCTCAGAGCCACCCAGAGTCACCCAGAGCCAGCCAGAGTCACCCAGACTCACCCCCGAGCCACCTGAGTCACCCAGAGCCACCCAGAGTCACCTCAGAGCCACCCAGAGTCACCCAGACTCACCCCAGAGCCACCCCTGAATCACCCAGAGCCACCCAGAGTCACCCAGACTCACTCCAGAGCCACCCCTGAGTCACCCAGGGCCACCCAGAGTCAGCCAAAGTCACCCCCGAGCCACCCCTGAATCACCCAGAGCCACCCAGAGTCACCCAGAGTCACCCCCGAGCCACCCCAGAGTCACCCCAGAGTCACCCACGTCCCCCCTGCTCCAGGGCACCCTCTGCGTTTGGGGCTGTGGGTGGTGCCGGGGGTCCCGCCGTTCCCGGGGGTCCCACGCCTGGCGGGGGCCGGGCCGGACCCCGAGCCCCGTGCCCCCCGCCGTTCCCGGGGGTCCCACCCCTGGCGGGGGCCGGGCCGGACCCCGAGCCCCGNCCTGGCGGGGGCCGGGCCGGACCCCGAGCCCCGTGCCCCCCGCCGTTCCCGGGGGTCCCACCCCTGGCGGGGGCCGGGCCGGACCCCGAGCCCCGCGCCCCCTCCCCAGACGTGCCCGCGGCTGGAGGGGCTGCGGGGCCGCGCCCCCGGCTGCACGTGGGACTCGCTGCGCAACTCGGCGGGCGAGAAGCTGGGCCAGCTGCGGAGCCGGGGCGGCAACCCCGCGCCCGGCGGGGCCTGCGCCCTGCTGCAGGAGCTCTCGGAGGAGCAGAGCTTCGCCATCAGCTACCTGGACATCGGTGAGCCCCTGCGCCCCCCGGCCCCGCTCGGCCCGGGCTGCCGTGGGGTGACCGCGCTGTGCCCCCAGACGCGCTGAGCCTCAGCGGGCTGCACCAGTGCCTGGTGGAGCTGTCCACGCAGCCGACCACGGTGTGCCACGGATCCGCCCCGTCCCGCGACGGCGCCCGCGCCCAGGCGGCCCGCAACGCGCTGCAGTACCTGCGCATCATGGCCGGGGGCAAGTGAGCCCGCCCGGGGCACCGAGCCCCGCCCGGGACCGGCGAGCCCCGCCCGGGACCGGCGAGCCCCGTCCGGGACCAACAAGCCCCGCCCCGGCCACCGAGCCCAGTCCGGGACCGGCGAGCCCCGCCCGGGACCACCGAGCCCAGTCCGGGACCGGTGAGCCCCGCCCGGGACCACCGAGCCCCGTCCGGGACCACCGAGCCCCGCCCCGGGCACCGAGCCCCGTCCGGGACCATCGAGTTCCACCCCGGGGCACCGAGCCCGCCCCGGGACACCGAGCCCCGCCCCGGGGCACCGAGCCCCGTCCGGGACCACCGAGCCCGCCCCGGGGCACCGAGCCCCGTCCGGCCCGTGCCCCTCGGCCCGCGGGCAGCGCTCGGACCTCTGGACGCGGCCCCCGCCGCGGGCGGACGGACAGACGGACCGCAGGGCCCGGGGTGCCCCCCGGCCTGGAGCCGCTCCGGAGGGTCCCGGGAGCCGTCGGCCCACGGAATAAAGCTGGGGGGTTTCTAGTCCCGGTGTCGGCGTCTCCTGGGCCGGGGGCGGACGAGGGGCGGGAGCCGCGGAAGCAGAGCGAGCCGCGGGCCGGGGTCTCCGGTTTATTGGGGGCGCACGGAGCCGCCCCGAGCCGCGGGCCGGGGTCTCCGCTGTACTGGGGGCGCACGGAGCCGCCGCGGGGCTCGGGCCGGGGTCTCCGGTTTATTGGGGGCGCACGGAGCCGCCCCGAGCCGCGGGCCGGGGTCTCCGGTTTATTGGGGGCGCACGGAGCCGCCCCGAGCCGCGGGCCGGGCTCGGGGTCAGCGGCGGCGGCCGAAGCGCTGCGGGGTCGCCATGGTCCAGAACGGGGCCACCGGGGGGTCCCAGCTGCGGGGGCTGAGCCGGGCCTGGGGGCTCCCCTGCGGCCCCCAGCCCCACCTGCGGGGGGACAGGGCAGCGCTGGGGACAGACAGAGGGACAGGGGTGGGTGGGATGGACGGGAATGGGCTGAACACGGACACTTAACGGGACCCTCAGCCCCACACCGCTGACCCTTCTCTCGGCCCCCCGAAGCACCCGCGTCCCCCCGCTGTCCCCTAAGCCCCCCACCCCGTCCCTCGGTGCCCCCAGACCCGCGGCCGGGCCCCCGTCCCCGCTCACCTCCCGGGGGCGCGGCCGGGGCGCCGCAGGGACCGGAGCAGCGCTCCCAGGGCGGCGGCGGCGGCCTGAGGCGGGGGAGGACCGGGGCTCACAGCGGTCCTGGAACCGGAGAGCGACCCCCGAGCCCACCCCGAGAGTCCCCCCACAAGGCGGAGCCCCCGCTCCGCCGGGCCGGGGCTCACCGGGGCCGGGCCGGGGCTCCCGGGACAGGCGCGGGCGGAGCGCGGGGTCGCCGCCAGCAGCAGCAGCAGCAGGAGCAGCACCGGGCGCCCCGCCATCGCCCCCGCCA